AAAAAAAAAAAAAAAAAAGAATGAGGGAAGATAGGCTCATACATCCATTATGTAAATTTATGTGAGTGTGTACATAAGTATACAGGTCCTGTGTATGTCGTCTCCAATGTTTGAGGATGGGAAATGATGTGGACAGATAGTGGAGGAAAGGATATGTGAGAAAGAGTAGGCGAAAATGGCAGGAGCTGCCGGGAATCAAACAGAAAATAGCAGAAACATGACTATACCATGAGAGAGGAAAAACTTTAAAATAGTAAATCCCACCCATTAATGCTAAGATTGAGGGCAATTGTGTCTAACATCCCACCATTTATAATTAAATACACATATCTGACAGTCTTAGGAAAGGTATAATCTGTGAAGTTAGTGAGGCAAAAAGTACCCACAGCACCAGGTTCCACCTACTTGTTTGTGACTGATTCTACAAGAGCTAAGAGCTGCTCGGGATGGTCCATTTGTGGGTCGAAGTCCATTGAATTTCTAACGATGTCCAGGGCCTGCATATTCCATCGGGGGTCCAAAGGGATCACAAATTCATCTAGTTTAAAAATAAAACAAAAAATAGAATTTTGGAGTTAAACTCCTTGCCTGGCAAGTTTCAGTAGAATATTTTCATTGTTACTTTGATCGCACTGAGTCCTGAAGGGGAAGAGGAAAAAGAGGGAAATGCTGTGGGTTTCAGCCCGTGACAGCAGAAAAGCAGGGTTTGACAGCCTTTACACTATTTCCTTTCCAAACGCGATACCTCTACCAGTACATACGAACATACATACACTGAACATTAATCCCACTGCAGGATATAAAGGTAATCTCTACGAGAACATAACATTCCAAACAATGAATTCGTTTCCTCAGATCTCACTACTGGTCTAAAAAGAATCCATGGGCTTAATTACCCCATCTGTCACCATCAGCTATTTAAAAAAAAAAAAAAAAAATTAAAATTTCATGGCAGAAAATGAATGAATACATTTCATCTCCTTTCAATAAGAAAACTAAAGATGATTTCACTTTAATTAAAAACAATTTCTCTACAACCATGGAATATAGCTGCTGCTGCTGCTGCTGCCTCACAATCCTTTGGCTCACACTTGCTACACCTTCTGTAAAGTAGCAGTGAGGAGACTGACACTCTCCAGAGGTTGTAAAAACTCAAAGAGAATAGGCAAGACACACGAAAGGTAACATTCATTTGAAGGTGGCTGGCAGGATGGTTCAGTTCAGTACTTTAAGTTTTAAAAGCATCCACCACATAGTAGAGTATCAAGGACGTACTATGAACAGCAAGGTATATTAAGAAGGAAACCCATAGTCCAACACCTAGGAAGACAGGTAAGACTACACAATTGAAAAATAAAGTTAGAGCTAATTAAAGATAATGTATTCCAACAGAAGACAAGCAGTAGCTGCTAAAAACGGAATGTGCTACTCTATAACTATGTTCCTAAAGACTATAACCCTTTCATAATGGAAAGCCATGATTTAGTTCACCCACAGCCTGACTACTACAGTTTTTTCTATTGTTTGATTTTTTCCCCCAACATTCACTCCATGACCTTTAATGTACATAAGGTGACTGATTTCAGCACAAAAGCATCATGCATATTTTCCACAAACCAAATGGCCAAGGTGTATTTTGATCAACATGAAATGAAGACAGAAATGGGAAAGAATTGGGTTTTTTGAAAATGCCTCTGTTTTTCTTATTAATGCTTATATTGAATCAACTTTATATTACTGTTTCAAGAAATAAGTTTATACTCTCATTTCTTATTAAAAAATCCTTTTGAATATTTTTTTAAAAATTTCAAAATATTAAAGGGGGCACACATGTTTTTGTTACATGGACTCATTGTATAATGCTGAAGTCAGAGCTTTTAGTGTGCCCATCACCAGGATAGTGTTCATGGTAACAGATACGTAAGTTTTTATCCCCCAACCCCTTCCCACTTTCCCTGCTTCTTGGTTTCCGATGTTCTTTAAATCTCTTTGTGCCTGTATGTATCCATCACTTAGCTCCCACTTAGTGAGAACATGTAGAGTTTGATTTTCCATTTCTGAGACACTTCACTTAGGATAATGGTCTCCAGTTCCATCTGAGTTGCCGAGAAAGACATTATTTCATGCCTTTTATGGCTAAGCAGTACTGACTGCCTGGTGTGTGTGTGTGTGTGTGTGTGTACACATATCACATTTTCTTTTTCCACTCATGAATTCTGAACATTTCCTTTGATTAGATAGCGTTGATGTCTATTTCTTTTATCATTATGGTTTTTATAACTTTGTGATTAAGACTTGTATTTTTTACCACTAAGATTTTATATTTTCTGAAGTAACTGATTCTGTGTAGCTTTCCCTTTAAAAGTCAAATACCTAATGGTTTGAAACTATTCCTACTAACAGTGCTAGTAGACAACACAATGTTAAAAATGGAAGGGACCTCAGAGAAATAACAGTTTAATTCCTCCAGTTTTTGAACATAGGTAGAGACGGTGAATGATGAGCTGAGAATCAACAAGCCAGGTTGTGGCAGAGCTGGGGCCAGAGTCCATTCTATGAACTCTAGGTTCTTTCCTCCACATTGTGTTATCATCAGCCTCCTTCAGAAGTTGGAGGATAAATGGATAGCAGAATTTGCTCCTGCATATAGTAAGCCTTCTAAAAAAATACTGGGTCTTTTTCCCATGAACTCAATAGATAAGATTACAAAACAATACTGTATTTTGTAATACAATGTTATAAAACAATACTGAGCTAGAAATCAAAAGAAAGTGCATACCTGTTATATTTGGCTGTAATATTTTGATAACATTACTGACCCCAACTGAGAGAGAACTTGAGTAAAACTTCCTCAGAGATGCAGCACTGGCTTCCAAATGAATTTGTATTGCCTCTGTGGAAGAAGGAGAAGCAAATGTTAGAATCTAAGGCAGTGCTGTCCAAGTGAACTTTCCGCATAGCTGAAAATGTTCTATAGCTGCGTTGTCAGATAGAGAAGCCACTAGTTACATGTGACAGAACTGGAAATGTGGCCAGAGCAACTAAAGGAGACTTTAGATTTTATTTAATTTTAACCAATTTATACTTGTATTTGTGTTTTAATAGCTCTCTTTGGCTGGCTAGTGGCTATTGTGCAGGACAATGTAGATACAAATTCCCTCTATAAATATTTAGACAGATTACATGTGTCACAGAATAATATACATATCCATTGGCTTATCTACAAGTTTTCATGGCATAGAAACAGTCTTACAAACTCAATTACTTTAGTTAATTTCCACTAACAAATTCCAAGTCCTGTACTTTACAATCTAGGCATGTTGATTGCTCCCCTCTTAAATGAAAAACATAGAAATAAAGTACAGTTGGCCCTCCATATCCAAGGGCCATATCAAAAATATACAAAAAT